ACTCCCCAACATCTCTTCTTACTCCCTGGTAGCCACTGACATACTCTTTTTAAAATGACAAAACTGTGGCTCCAAGAGGTGAAATGACTTGCCCAAGATCTCAGCGCTGGGACTAGTACAACCAGGACCTGAGGCCAGGTCTCCTCATTGGACTCTGAAACTAGCATTCTTTCTCCACTCTGCAACACTGCCTGCTGCACCTCTGTTAAAGAGCTGCAAGGTGCTCGTAGCCCTGCCTCCCTCACTGGTCATCTAGAGTCCACATCCTTGAATAACGCTGCACACTGAAGCTCAGCATAGCTGTGGGACGAATTACAGAATGCATTCACAAAAGACAGCGTCAGCTTGACCCAGTGCTTGGGAGTGAAGCTCGAATTGCAACCTCTGCTTTCTAAAACACATCTATTGCATACCGACTGTGTTCCTGATATGCCAGCTTCTCACTGCCCCCCAAGCCTGTTGGCCCCTCACGGCAGGAGAGGAGAGGCCTGAGGGCTGGCTCTGCCTGAAGGCCCTGAGTAGGAAGATTTGTGTTTACATTACCCAGTCAATTCTGTATTTATTTTAGATATTAAGCAGTGACATAAAAGCTGCTGACATTAACCTTCAGGGGCAGAAATTGTCTTTAATGGACCCCATAAAAGTTATTATTGATGGCAGCGGCATGCAGCATCACTGTGACCTCAGCAAAAGCCTCCACCGCTATCAATACTGTTGACAATTACTATTGACTAATGCAAGGCCTGGTGTGGAGGCAGAGTAAATGTTCTTGTGGCTGGAGGTTGCTGGGGTTATGCTTCACATTTCACATTTATCTGGTAAGGATCTCTGAGAACTTGGTTGCACATTTTTGGTGGCCTCAATTGATAGCTGAGGACGCCTGCAGACTCAAATGGAGGCAGGCAAAGGGCTCAGACTATAGAGATGGCTCAGGCCATCAAAGAGACCAGACTTCAAATCTAAGCTCTGCCAACTTGGTGACTCGCTGGCTGTTGTGTCTCGGTTTGGAGCCTCAGGTTTTCCATTCGGCAAATGGGAATGCCATTGAGTTGCCAGGGGGATTAAAGGCAATTGCACACGTGCAGTGGTAAGCACATAGCATGAGGTTGCTGGCTTTGCTCTAACCCTGAGAAGTGACCACACTGTGATGTGTTGACTGACAGGTCCAGTGGAACTGAGCCCTGTTCTGATGGTGAGATCTGAGTTCCCAACACAAGAAAAGGAGAGCACTGGCTGGGGCCAGGGGTTTGATGAGGTCAGGCAGAACTACAGAAAGATGGGAGGGGGGAAGGTAAAAGAAAAGGGAGAGAGAGGGTGAAAGGAACCAAGACTTTTGTAGTAGAGCCTGGCTCCAGCTCAACTAGATATGTGGCCCTGTGCACAGCCTTTAATCTCTCTGTGCCTCAGTTTCCTCAGCTATACGTTGGGGAGATAATAGCGTAAGAGGAACGTGAACTTAATCAGTGAATAAAAGGGAGTCATTCCCACGATTGCTGTCATTATTTAGATCTGAGTACTGCATAACAAAGCTGTTAACATAACTTCCCAACTGGGAGCAAGTAGACAGCCTTTGGGCACCTAGGGGGAATCTAGGTTCAGGGAGTCCAGGCTTGGAAGGGATGTGGGAAACAGAAGCCCTTCATTAGATTCATCTGCCTACCTCCTCTGCCCACCCGTCTACCCTGAGTACAGCGAGGCTTTGAGTTCTGTGGCCAGTGTGGAAATGTATGATCATAAAGAGATGACGACATGGCCAGGGGAGCAGGCAGCCATTTCTCCGCCCCATTATCAAAGGCTAAAACTCTTCAGGCTTAGTGAATATGTCATTATCACCCAACAGAGGCTTAATTCAGCTGTAATTCAGCTCTCAGGGAATATACAATAATGTGGGCAGTGTGCACCTCTTTCTGTCATGACTTTATGGAAAATGATCATTTGTCACCATGGCAAGAAGGCTTCAAAAGAAAAAATAACCCAAGTGTCTTGCTACAGAGGGAATTCACTATAACTAGGGCTGTAAGAGTAAAGATTTTAGAGTCATATAGGCTTGAGTTCCAACCTCATTTTGCTAGTTGTGTGTCCTATGCAGGTTTCTTAACTTCTCTGGGCTGCAGTTTCCTTACTGTGTGCAACAATGGGGATAATAAAACCTTCTTCAAAGGGTTGTAGGGGGAGTAAATGAGATAATACAGCTAAAGCAGTTAGCACTGTGCTTAGGTTCAAGTAATTGGCAGCAACCTTTTTTTTTTTTTTTTGAGATAGAGTCTAGCTCTGTTGCCCAGGCTGGAGTGCAGTGGTGCAATCTTGGCTCATGGCAACCTCTGCCTCTGGGGTTCCAGTGATTCTCCTGCCTTAACCTCCTGAGTAGCTGGGATTACAGGTGTGCATCACCATGCCTGGCTAATTTTTGCATTTTTAGTAGAGATGGGGTTTTGCCATGTTGCCCAGACTGGTCTTGGACTCTTGGCCTCAAGCGATCCATCCACCCCAGCCTCTGAAAGTGCTGGGATTACAGGCTTGAACCACCATGCCCAACCACACAACTATCAAGTATTAATGCTGTTATTATTATCATTTTCCTCTCGCATACCTTCATCTTGTGCATGCACTTAGAATCCAAGAATTCTGCATCTAGAAGGGCCTACAGGTCATTTAGCTCAGCTAGACCCAAAAATTGTTTATTAGAATACTGGTCCCACCAGATGCTCTGAGAATAAAAGAGTTCTGTGGTCAAATCGATTTGGGGAATGCTGCATACATCCCCCCTTGGTAATTTATCCATTAGCATCCACATTAACATCTGAAAAACTCTAAGAAGTCCTGGAGTAAAGAAACTGGTTTAAGTTTGTTTGATTCAGTGTTTCCTACATTATTTGACCACAGAACAGCCCCCTACCCCATCTAAGAACTAACATTCTCAGATCAAGGAATGCTAAGTTCATTTAAACTATTTATTTTATAGATGAGGAAACTGAGGTCCCAAGAAAGGATACAATTTACCCAATGCCACACCCTAGACCAGTACCAGAACTGAGACTCCCTTCCTGCTGTGGTGTGCTGGCACATACCCTATTCTCTTTGTGCCAGGCCCTGCACTGCCCTTCAATTTAATGTTCAAGTTCAGTGCGTGGTGGGGGTGGGGAGAGGCAGGGCTGCTGGCTGGGTATGGCCTTGGGAAGGTGGGTGAGGGAGTGTGGGTGCTTTCCCACCAGAGAGAGGGAAACTCCTCTGGTACTGAGGTCATTAGCCCCTTCACAGGGCTGACTGGGGACCAAGGGAGAGTGACACTGCCAAGCCAGTACCCAGTACCCAAGCCATTGCCACCCTCCCACGTAGACAAGTATGCAGGCTCCCTAGGCGAACACGTGAGTCCTCTGGGAGGGTGGCGGGATGCAGCTTTGGAACTGCTGCATGGGACTCTGGACCCTAAGGGGATACATTTCCCCACCTGACCCCGACCGTGCATGGTCTCCTGCCCATCCCCAATCTGGGGATCCATCTTGGTTTTACACCACTCAGCTGGAGCCTCCTCTTCAGAGACTAACCCCTTTAAGCCTTATCTCTGACCTGTTCCCTGCCCTGATCCAGGGGAATCCTGGGCAGGAATCACCAGGATCTACATTTGAAGCTAGAAGCCAGCAGGGGGCACTGGGCTAGGTGCTTCCTATTCTATTAATAATTCATACTGCCCTCCCCTACCCCTTTGCGGGCTCTGGTGTGGAAGCGCCAGCGGACCTCCTCCTCACTGGGCTTCCCAGAAACAGCCTTCCAGGTGCTGGGGCTGTTCCTGGGCTCTGCCACTCTTTCTTTTGCTGCCAGGCCTCAGCAGGACCCACCTCGGTGCTGACCTGGCTCAGCAAAGCTGCTCAGGGGCTGGTAAGGCATGAAATACACAGAAGGGGAGAATCCCCCCGGGAGCTAGTCTCCACGCAGGACCACGTTAGACTCAGAGCCCCTCAGAATTCTGCCAGCAAGGTCCCAAGGGAGAAAGAGGAAAACGCTGACATCGGGCCCCCTTTCCTCCACCACGGAAAGGAGGTGTGTGAACCAGGTGTTATCTTTTCCTCCCACAGCCTCTCTCAGGCCTTGGGAAGGAGCGTCAGGGAGGAGAGCGGAATAAGGAGTGTGCAGCTGGCACTTCCTGGGATCGGGGGAAGCTGCAGCAAAGCCTCAAGTTTTAATTGTTAAAGTTTATTTTTTTTTGTCTTTTCACTTTCTTTTTATTTTTAATAGACAGATAATAATTATATATATTTATAGGGCACAATATGATATTTTGATACATAAATATATTGTAGAACGATTAACTAAAGTTAATTAACATATTCCTCATCTCACATACTTATTTTTTTGTGGTGGGAATATTTAAAAATCTACTCTTTTAGCAACTCTGAAATATATAATGCATTATTATTAACTATAGTCACCATGCTGTGCAATAGATTTCAAAAACTTATTTCTCCTAACTGAAACTCTGTACCCTTTAACATCTCCCCTAAACTTCAAGTTTTAAGTTATCCCCAAATGTCACTTTTTGTTTGGAAGTCATCCTCTGAACAACATAAGATGCTGATGTGGGACAGTGTTCCTGGAGGTTGCCCAGGACTGCTGAGCACCTGGAGCTAGAGATGGAACGAGCAGGATTCAGGCAGGACCAGGCCTTGCTGATTTGGTAGAGGACAAACTATGGGGAATCTGTTACCACTGCCCCATGCCCTTTCTTCTCCCCTGCACACAGGCACCTTATAAGCAATGACCCAGAGCCTTATGCGCCTCCCTAATCTGGAAGGAAAGAGCAGCAACCCAGTCTCTGGCACGTCACTCATGGGTGGGCATTTCACATGACTCTGCAAGAGACTCTGACTTTTGATCCCTGAGAGTAAAGCAATTTTTCACCGACTTCACCAGAGCCCCAGGCAATGGAGCAGGAAATCAATATTGTAAATAAAACCCCAGCTCCACCACCCAGGCACCCGGCACAGACCAAACCAGCCACTTACCAGTCTCAGTGTTTTCGTGCTCGGTGTCGGTGAGCGTGAGGTTGGAGTTGGCCCGGCTGGACAGGCAGGAGCTGCGCCCTGACCGTGTGCTCCGGCCCCACAGCCGCACGGGGTGCTCAGGGGACAGCACCGTGTCAGCCTCCATGTCGGCATCAGAGCTGGCCCCCATGGAGTAGCCGCAGTGGGGGAGGCCAATGTCTGTCCGGTACAGGGTCCCGTGAGGGGACGTTACTTCTCCCAGCCCCAGCTCCCGCAGGGTGAAGTTGGCACCTGGGAGGAAACACAGGTGAGCTCGGTTAGGGCACTGAGAAGAGGTCTGCCTCTGCCTCTGCCTGAAGCCGGGCCTTCCTACCCCAGGACTCACTGTCGTTCTTTGAACTTGCTGTGGCATTCTGTGCCCATGCCTTTGCTCAAGTGATTGCCTCTGCCTGGAGGGCTTTTTCTGCCCCCTCTTCACCAGCCTGCACCCTCCATTTCCTTTAACCTCAACTCAAATTGCGCCTGCTCTGTGAAGTCTACCCCAATACCAACACCTGTGCAGAATTCGTTGTCATTTTTTCCAGGCTCCTTCCGGAGTCCTTGGGCCTGGTCGTACTGCACAGAGTTGTTTCAGGGTCTACCCTCTGCTGAAGGTGACCTCAGCAAGGGCAGGCACCATGTTTTGCTTATGCTTATTCTTAAATCTCTGTTCCTAGAACAAAATACAGTACTCAGAAGGGGCTCAATAAATGCTTGTGAAAATGAATCGAGGGTTTCAGGTCTCCTTTTCCAGGGAGGATGGTCAGCAAGTCCTGAGCAGGGCAGAAGCCCAGTCAATGAGATCTAAATGGCTCCCTTGGGGCCAGAAGTTCCTTTCTGGCCAGGTCAAGAAAGCCTGAAGCTTGAGAGTGAAGAAGATGAGGATTGGCAGAGAAAAGTCAGCCTCGTACCAGGAAAAAGGCTCTGGCTGCTGCTTCCTCACTCCAAGTGGGTCTGTGATGGGGAACTGGTGGAGACAGGTCTCTTGAGGGCTTGGGCAGGCCTAGCAATGCCTAGGACAGAGGCTGGGGAGGATGTGGGTGAGAGAAGGTCACCTAGGATTAGTACTTGAGTGACAAATAGAATGCTGACTTTATGGAAAACTAACCTCCCTGTCACATGTGAATTCAATGACTATTCAGGGACAGCTTCTCCCATATTTCTAGTATTTCCAGGAATGTGTTGCAGGGAAAAGGAAGAGGGAGTATACAAAGCCAGTAAGGGTCAGATCCCACTTACAGTGATGATCTGGAGAACTGGACTTATAATCAGGCAGAATCCATGCTTAAACCAAGTCACGCTGGCCCTGGGCCTGTACTGAGATACAGCAGTGAATAGGATACAGTGCCCAACTTTACAGAACTCCCTGGCGGGTAGGGGAGACACAACCAAACACATGATTAAGTGTGCAAGTTCAAAGTGCGGAGATCCACAGAGAGTGTTCTGGGAGTGCAGGGGCAGAAGGTGGGATATTGGGGTGAGGAGCTCAGAGGAGAGGTGTGCAATGAGAGTGAATGTGGAGAATGACAAGTTAGAAGGCAGAAGAGGTGGATGGCCAAGGTTTAAAGGCCTCCTTGGCCAGGACTGAATAGGACAAGCCTGCAAAGGAAAGCAAGAAAGAACTGCTGGAGAGGTAGAAAGGGAGCCAGCAGAGATACCATCCTATTATAACGGTGTGTCTCACTCTTACAGATAACCCTGTGCTCCCCCGGTGTGTGCTGGTTATCTGGAGCCAACACCTATCACACCTGCGGCAGAGTAGGTGCCCTGTAAAAGTTAGGTAACCCCACACACATGTACATACCTGCGCGCACACGCACCCACGTGCACACGCACGTGCACACACACACGCACACGTGCACACACACGCACACGCGCACACGCACGCACTCTGGCAGTACTTTGGACAACAGATAAGAGGACAAGAAAGCAGGGAGGAGAGACCAGCTGGGGTGCTGCTGAAATGCAAGCTGCTGCGCTAGGCTGTGGTGGTGGGTGGAGGTGTGCCTCAGGCCTCCCACTCAGCTGGCTCAGGCTGGGAGAGCCTTGATGCCAGGTTACAGCCATGAAGTACTTCCACACAGCTTGGTAAATAACTTGTGCCAAGCCACCTCAGTGCCTCCTTCCATACCCAGTGCCTCTCAGCCTCTGCTTTGGCTGCTCCAGCCCTTTCCCAATACCCCCAGTCTCCTCATGATCCAGTTACTAAACAAAGGGTTAATGTCAGCGGACCAGGCATAATAGAAGCCTGTGGGCTCTGCTCAGTGGCCAGGCAGACATTCTGATTGGTTAGAGGCTGGACCAACCAGATGTTAGCCATTTTGCATACCACTCCTCGGTGCCCTACTCCAATCTGCCCTCCTATTTTGCTCACCTAAGAAAAAGAAAAGGCTAAATTAGAGCCTAAATTCCTCAGTCTGCTTCCCGCTCTCTCTGCACATCACACTCCCTGGCCGCTCTCTGATCTACGCTCCTCTCTCCTGTCCTGTTCTCGCCCCCTGCCCCCATCCACAGTTCTATCTGTTCTCTGCTGGGCTGGCCCTCTCAAAGAGAAGCCACTCACATGTTATGAAGAATGACTCTTACATTAAGTGAAAAATCAAATTTATTTGCAACAAACAGCCTGGGCTGCATTGATTTCCATATGGCTTGTCCTGCATACCCTTTTAAGCAGCCAGACTCAGCATCAATACCAGTGAGCTAAGACATCTCTGGACCGGAGAAATGCAAGGTAAGGGCTCACTCTAAGGGTTCCATGATCCTGTTGAGCCAGTCAGCTCCTCTGATGTGTGAGTTTGGAAGATTTACTTCATCCAATTTAAGAAGTCCTCATGGTTTACTTGCTTTATGTCCTTTTTGGCCTCTTTCCTGAGGCTCAGGGCACGAGTTGGCATCCCATCTCACTCAACATCTAGCTGTGCAATCTTGGGCTGGTGATCACCTGAGCTTCAATGTTCTTGTCTTTAAAATGGGATGATAATCTATGACCTGCTACCTTCAAAGGATTTTTGAGGATCCAGGGTGATAATTTGAAGGAGAGTATTTTGTAAACTGCTACGCACATGCCTGCCTATGAGATGAGACTGCTTATTTGTTATTTACAAAGGTAAGGAGCTACCCCTTCCCTGAGCCTCATGTGCTAGGTCCAAGCCAGCCAGGGCTGAGCTCTGTCACTTACGGACAGGACAGAGCAAGAGCAAAGCTTTCAGAGACCATTTTGTCTCTTCCCTTCAGTGAGATCCAGAGATGACAATTAATAGCAGGCAACATTTCTGAAGCATCTGTTCTGTGCCAGGTACTGGTGTCAAGTGTTTTATTTACAGTTTTCATCAATCCTCACCACCTGTGAGGCACTGTTTATCCCTTTGCACAGGTGAAGTAGCTGAGAATAGTAAAAATGGCACAGCCACAATTCAAATCTAGGTCTGTTTGATGCCAGAGTTGGAGCCTTAACCCTAAGCTGGGAAAGGGACTGCTCATTTTTCAAGCCTCACAGGCAGCCCTGCTAACAGGTCAGCTTTCACATGGATACAGGCCTGTGGGAGAGAATAGAAATGAAGAGGTCATAGGTGTGCTCTGTGTGTGTGTGTGTGTGTGTGTGTGTGGCCAGCTCCTCTTAGCTCTGTGATCTTGGGCAAATGATTCACCCCGGGATTGTTGTAAGAATTAAATAACATTGTCAAAATGCATATAAATTACATAGCACAGTGCTCAGCTGACCCTGTCTGTGAAGAGGGAGAAGGGCAGAGCAAAATCAGGATGGGCTGCACAAATTGTCAGGTATTGGTCATGACCCAACAGGCATCAAAGAGGGCTCAAGCATCTGCAGGCAGAAAAACAGGAAACACCGAGGCACCATGATAGGAAAGATATATCACAACAGGTATGGAAACCTGAGCAGTTCAGCAGGGCTGGCTCATGAGTGGTGGAGTGTGGAGAGTCAGGGGACAAAAAATGTATAGAGAAACAGGAACAGATTTGGGGAAAGCGGTCTATGTTAGGGGGAGCTCAGTTGAAGGGCAACAGGGAGTCACCCCCAAGCTTCATCTGGCTGCAGTACAGAGAATGGCTCGAGGCAGGCAGCTCTGGGTGAAGGGGGGTGATTGTGGTTAATCCTCCAAGAAAAATGATAATAGCTTGCACTGGGAAGTGTCAGAGGGAATGGCTAAGAAGGATGGATTTGAATACTGGAGCAGGATGGATAGGCTTTGGGGACTACTGTAGGTAGAAAGTGCAGGAGAGGGAACCAGGCACCAGGATATCCTACAAATTACTAAGTTTTCATGTTTAACTATCTCAGGAAGGTCTTCCTCTCAAGATCACACAGGGCTTGACACAAAGAAACTGCTAAATACGTTTGTTGAATGAATAGCAAAACTAGGAACTAACATTTATTCAGCACTTACTTGCTGTTACGCTTACCACTGAAAGGCCATCTCATTCAGTCTTCAGGACAATTCAATGCAGTAGGGAGGCTTCTCACGCCCATCTAACAGTTGAGGACTGAGGTTTAGAGGGAAGCCTAACTCAGCTCTAGGCAGGTAGACAAACACTGGAGCCCAGCTCCTAACCACCTCACTATGCCAGGGAAGTGAGTAAGGGAGAAAATAAATGAACCAAGAATGAACTACAGGGCAGGCTTTTACCAGGTCCAAGTGCCCAAATGGCAGAGACTTGCTGTTGATATGGCACCCCAACTGGTGTTCCAGCTCACCTGTGCCACGCCTACCTGCCCCAGGCCCACCTGCGCCACGCCCACCCGAGCCCATGCCTACCTGAGCCAAGCTCCCCTGCGCCCAGGCCCCGCCCCCTCGGCCTTGCCCTCACCTGTGCGGCAGAATTCCTCGGCCTCCTGCGGCACCATATCCTTGACGCGGCTGCCGTAGGCTAGGCGGGCGTCCTGGTCGTAGGCCTTCAGGGTCTCGCTGGAGCTGTAGGATTTCTGCGGGGTTTTGCCCTCCTCGCTGTCCGCGGACGAGCTGGTGTAGCGGCGCTCGGCGTCGCGGCGCCGGGTCAGCGAGCGGTAAGGCTTCCTCTCCTTCACGTCCATGGCCTCCGGCCCGCGCTCTTCCACATCCACAAATAGGGTCCTCGCCGCACTCAGGGCCGAGTGGTCTAGAGCCAGGGAAACCGAAGATAGGGCGTGAGAGGCAGAGAACATTCCCGGGTTCATCCTGATCCTGGATTAACCCTTGCAGCAGTGTGGACAGAGAACTCCAGGCAGCAGAGGTGAGGGTACCGCTCCACCACTACGCAGCCGGTAAGTGACTCGCACCCAGGGTCTCTAATTACAAATCCTGTCCCTTTCTGCTACTTAGCCTATTCACTTTGAAGAGGCCTCCTCCAGGGATGGGCACCAAGGAAGCTGACAGCAAAGGCCAGAGGGCACTGGTGGTTAGTAATATCCCTAGATAGGAACCAAGCCTGTTTGATTCCCATCACATCCCACGTGGAACAGGGCCTGACCCAGCTCTAGCCCAGGGCTCCTTAAAAATCTGTGAGATGAATGATTGCACGCAAGCACTGGGGTAAGCACTTTGCATATATTATCTTAGTAAATCTTCATACCTTCCGAGATGTTATTACTCTCTCCAACCTTTTTTGGAAACGAGCCAAGGTATAAACAACCAACCCACACTTACCACCACCAGATGATTATATAATTATTTGCTTTTTGCCCATCTCCTTCCGCTAGCCTGTAAGCTGTACGAGAGCAGAAACTTTATCTGTGCTGCTCACCTGGTCTGTAGCACCTTGAGCAAGAGCTGGTACACAGTAGGCGCCTAATAAAGATGTGTTTCATTAACCAGCTAACCATCCCCATCTGACAAAATTGAGATTCAGAACCCCCTTCAAGGTCACTTAGGTGTCAAGTAACAAAGCCAGGTTTGGAACTCAGATCTGTTTGACACTAAAGCCTGCATTTTTCCTATTCCATTCTGCCTCCCTGAGATGTCTCCCTCCTACTCTTAGTACCCAAAAGTGCCCTTCCAGTTACTCCGAGAATGTCCCTCACCTCCAGAATTGCCCATCTCATCAGTGCCACCGTCAGCACTGGGCAGCCGAGTGTCTGCCCCATGCATCTGGGTGTTGTTAGGGGGTCTGACTGGTGGGAAGCTCCTAATAACCCTTTATCCTCTTTTCCCCATCTTGACCCTTCTGCCCTACACTGACACCACTGGATTTTTGACTTGTGATAGCACCCTCTTTCTCCCTCCAAATGTCTTCTTTTAGCTCTGGGGTAGCAAACACAACCATACAGGGCCAGGAGCTCAATACAGAAGGAAAGCAGAATATCCTCCACAGAGACATAGGGCATCACTTAGTTTTTATGAAACACAACCTGCTCAGTTCTGGCTTTCCATTGCTCCAGCTTTCAGAGCAGCATGGGTACACAAGGCATTCCCCTGCTTCATTGTCTGATTAGAGAAACAGCAGAGCAAGAGCTGTGATAAATGCTGCCAACATCAGACCTCAGTATCCAGGGTGGGGCCTTGACAGCTGGGAGGGTGGGTCTGTCCAAGTGCCTGCCTGTGCTGCAAAGTGGGAGTATGGGTGGGAATGTCTGGGGGGTAGTGGTGTCTTGTGAATTTTTAAGACAAGCTGGAAATTTGGAGTTAGATATAAAATGTATGACTTTAAGATGTTGATCCATTATTATTATTATTTAATTTTAATACTTTGCAGGCCAAACAAAACAGACTGCTGAGTCGAATTTGCTCTGAGGCTCGCAGTTTCCAAATTCTGCCTTTGATCATGGACATCAGAGACAGCTCTTTGGCCCGTTTTTCAAAGAGTACAAACATTTGTGATTTTACTGGTGCCTCATAATAACTGTGAAGTAGAGATTACAATTGTTTTCATCCCCATTTTATAGATGAAGCTACAGTGACCCAGGGCCATATAGTCTCCTGCCTAAGGCCACATGGTGAGTTAGTTGCAAAGCTGGCACTAACTAGATAGACTGCAATGCCTCGGGATTATACCTAGATCCAATTAAGATGAATAGGTGACACTATTTTGGTTCCCAATTCTCAAAATATCCCTGGAAATTAATGCTGGGGCAAGGGGTGCAACCCAAGACACAGAGAAATCAAATTATGTTACTGAGGCTCAAACCCAGAGCTCTGAGCTCTGCCATCCTGATGCTCAGTCTCCCAATAGCTGGCAAGATGATAGTCCTCTGAGTGTCTGGGAAGCAGGACCACAAGGAAGATCAGTGATAGTACCTTCTACTCCAGGGTCTTTAAAACTTTCTTGACTGCAGTCCAGAATTAGAAAAACATATTATGGCCAAGCATGGGGTGGCTCACATCTGTCATCCCAGAACTTTAGGAAGCCAAGGTGGAAGGATCACTACAGGCCAGGAGTTCGAGACCAGCCTGGGCACAGCAAGACCCTGTCTCTACAAACAAACAAACAAACAAAACTTTAGCCAGGCGTAGTGGCACATGCCTGTAGTCTCAGCTACTCAGGAGACTGAAACGGGAGGATAGCTTGGGCCCAGTAGGTCAAGGCTATGGTGAGCTGTGATGGTACCACTGTACTCCCTGCTGGGCAAGAGTGAGACCCTGTCTCAAAAAAAAAAAATTTATAACATCCTACATAGTGACCCACTACACACATTGATGTATGTGAATGTGTGTGTTTATATGTATAAAAGAGAAACAAAAGATTCACAAAAGTTATTGCGTGATGAGAAATATGCATAAAAGAGAAACAAAAGATTCACAAGTTATTGCATGATGAGAAATGCACTCTGATATGTTCTATCTCATTCTCTTTCATTTTTTAAAAAATGACTGATTATAATTCTAAATTGATATCATGACCCAATACTGGCTTTCAACCCAAAGCACTGTTCTGGTATAATTTGAATGAGGATTTATGGCAACTGCTGCCTCTGCCTGTTTACTTCTAACCCCTGAGTGACAATAATGATGATGATAATAATAAGCATAAGTACTCCATAATGTTAGCCATCATTAATATGATTCACTAATAACTCATAATATTAATAATGGTTTTAACATTATAGCTAATAGACTCTTAGTAGCTAATATTATTGCTTACTTTTACTGTGATTATATATAACATCTTTAATCCTCACACCAACCCTGTGATAAAGGTATTATGATTTTCTGCAGACTGCAGATGAGAAATTGTGAGGTTAAGTATGCTGCCCGAGGTTACATGGCCCTCGCATATAAAGAGGAGAAAGAATTGTGATCCTGAGGTTGAACTCAGCAAGTGGGTATAACTGCTGTATGGGCTGTGCCAGGGAAATTTTTGAGGCCCAGGTCATGCTATTGTCCTGCTTATGCCCTCTAGCAGGCCTGCTGAGCCTTTGGGGTCAATTCTAGTTTCCCGGTCAAAATGAAGGCTCTTGTCATTCTCGCTCACCTCGCTTCCATCTTGCCGAGCCACTGGCACTTTCCTGGATGTGAATTCCGTGGCCTTTCTGACTGTGTGTATGATGCTTCATCACTGCACATGCAGCCCACTAGCTGATCTTTTTTCACGTCTGCCTCTCCCCTTGACTAGAGTTCCTTGAGGGTAGGTAGGCTTGGTATCCGGTGCTCACAAAATGCTTGTTAAGTGCATGCATGAATGAAACTACTTGGCAGCTACTTCATGTCTTCTTATTAAGCCTAAATAACATAAAATATTAGTAGTTCACTACCAATTAAGTAAAGTATTAAGTAAATCTAAGGCTGAATTAGAGGCATTGCTTAGATGTATTATCTTTTTAAATTTCAAGGCAGCCTGGGCTTGAAGTATGCATCCCCCACTGACCAGGTGAATGACCTTGGGCAAGTTATTTAACTGCTCTGTGCTTCTGCTTTCTCATCTGTAAAACCTCTTAGGGTTGCTTTGAGGATTAAATGAGTTAATATGTGCCCCTAGCATATACAGTCCCCGGTACACAGTGAGTGCTCAATAGATGTTAGCTATTATTATCATCAGAAAAAAACAAACACATTTTCTTTTTAAAAAGCATAATGTAGAAAGCTCCGGGGAGGTGTCAGTTATAACCGGGGAAGGAGCATCCCCTCAGAAGCATATGTTAATAAGGCTGAGAAACATTTTAGGCTGTTAAATTGGTGGATGACTATTTCTTTTCATCAGTGTGTGCCTGTTGACTGAAGACACTGGCATCAAGGCAAAGGCTCAGTAACCACAAATTATGAAGAACATACACACCTAACACACAGCTTCCCTGTCACAAAGCTGAGGCAGGGAGAACATTCGCCTGGTTCTCATTTCCTTTACATTTTCTTTTCACATTTTAGGCTTAATACAGTAATTCAGCAAGTATTTACTGCTTTTGAACAGGTGAGAGGTCAGGTATGGTTCACACTCAAACTGGCATTTAACAGCGGGAAAGAAGAGGTTGAGGTGAAAGAGGAGTGACAGTGGAGAAATGCTCCCTTTGGAGCAAGGGACTTCAGTGCAGTGACCTGGAGCTCCCCAGCAGAAGGACAGAAGGAATGCTGGGGAAGGGGCCCACCTCAGATCCTGCAACCCCCAGCCACAGGCTCAGGACAGAAGCACATGGCACATATCCGTGCCTAAACGTGTTTGCTCCCTCCTTACCCGCCAACCTCTGGGTTCCCCATAAAACCCATAAGCATGACATCCAAGGCTTCTGGAGATCTGACTTTCCTTGTCTCTCTCTGCTTCCTCTCACTGCCACAGAGCAACCTGTCTCCCGCAGACTCACACGCTCCATTTCAGTCCTGCAGAGCTGCCTGCCATTTGCCAGCCGTCCCATACTCTTGAACACTGCTGAGCCTCTACAAGTGGTGTTGGGTGGGCTCACCTACTGGCGGCACCAGGAGGAGACGGTGGCAGGGTCGTGTTAGGTGAGAGGCCAGAATGTGTCTTCGCTGCCCCCTCTAGCTCTCTAGTCCTCTGTCCATGCCTACTCCCACAGGTAGCCCCTCCTCCAGACCTCCGCTTCATACTGGGCTCTGCTAACATCTTCCCCTGCCCTCATCTGTGCAGGCCCAGGGGTGCGCCAGTTTCTTGCTGTTGCTAGAGCCCAGGTGTCTCACCATCAGGGCTGGCTTTCTGAGCCTGCTGCACCTCCGTCTCTTCATTAAAGTCTGCTC